TGCATGACGCCTCAGAGACTCTCTCCCAAGACCATCAGCTCCCCGCAACACAGGTGCTATGCAGAATGGACCTTCATTTCCAGATGAGCTCATCCCAGGTCTTCTCATCATTGAAAAGATGCTCAGTAATATGTCAAATAGATGAGGATATTAAGGGTAAAACTGTGATAGAGACTGTGACTAAAGTGGTGAAGGAGGAGTTTGATCTTGGCTTCCTCACACCCAACATACAAGCCTTGATGGAGTCACCATGTGCCTTGGTGCTGTTAGCCTTGTGTGTGCAACATGGGGACCAGGTTCTTCCCTCATCTCTCACGAGATGCCGTCATGGGGTAAAAATGAAGCTGATGGATGGAAAAAAGGCATTGGAACCGTGGAGACACTTGTTTCCATTTTGTCAAATGTGATCATGACTGTTTTTTTGCTCTAACCTTATTTCCCCTGTGAACAAATATTAGGTTGGTTGTCTGACATAGTTTACTTCAGCATTTTAACAGCAAGCAAGTTCTATTATTTGGTATTGAAAAGAACCACATAGCTTTTCCAACTCCGATGAGAGTAAAGAATAAATCAAGACTATAAATTTATGATATGAATGGTAGAAATATCTCACAAATAATGAACAGCACGATAAAGGGAGATACATGGAAGAGCAAATTAGCTATTCATTTTGCAGTTTGACTATCTCTGCCATGGGAACTTTCAAAAATCTGCAATTTAATGAAATGACATCTAAATTTTAGTGGCTCCTCTGAGATCACTTTAAAAGGTCACAGGTAGCTGATAAATGAATGGAAAATACAAGTCTATCATATCTCTTTTAAAGCTACAAAGTAGGAATTATAAAGCCCCTGGTAAAGAAATGAGACCACATACAAGAAGCTATGTATAACTGGTGTATTGTGCACACCAGGAATCCTGGCATCTAGGAGGTTTAGGGATGATCAAGAGATTCTATCAGAGGATGAGGAAGAAAAGGAGAAAAGGGACGAAAAGAAGAGAGGAGGGGAGGGAGAGAGGGAGAAGTGAGCATCAGGGAAAACAGTGGTGGGTGTGATGGTCTAGTGGAAGGACCTGCCATGACCTGGTGAGTACAGCAAACCCAATGCAGGGAGTTTTCCTTGAAGCTGGAGTTTTCCCTGAAGCCTGTTCTCTTTTATTCTAACATTAGGTCTTCCTTTGTCATGGCTTATTAAAATGTCTTTGCTTTTGTGAAATGTCAGTATTTTGGGTTTGATTGCTGGGTCTACTCAAGGAAAGTGGCTTGAGACCAACTTTGAGTCCACTTAAGCTTTTATTTCTTTGTGTAGACACAAATATTGGTAAATAGAATATAATAGTATTTTGTGAATATCCTAGCTTAAATTGTACTACATAATAATAGATGATCAAGTAGTATAGCTATACAGAGTAAATGAAATGTGTGTTATTGAGATAAATAAATTACATAGAATTGTTTCTTTTCCCCTCTTTGGTGTTGAGGATTGAATCAGGGTCTTATTGTGCCCTTTTGGGCTACTTTTTGGGCTACAGCCCAGCCCTTTTTAGTTTGCTTATGAAAGACTCTTGCATCTATCTTTGCCTATGCTGGCCTTGAACTTAAGATCCTCCTGCTTCTACCTCTAGAGTAGCTGGGATGACAGGTGTGTACCATACCCAATAGATAATATTTTGATGGTATAAAATCATTATGTTTTTACTACTGCATAAGATGTTTTTCCTTTTTCCCCCTGATGGCACCACTCAGGACTTACTCATGCCTTTGCTCCAAGAGAAAATCTCTACAGAGCAAGCATCAGGGGAATTTCCCTTTTGTGGACAGACAACCCAAGAGTCCTGGTGAGGAACACTCCAAACTAGTGGTAGAATGGAGTTGTTTACTGAAGAATTTTTTGTTGGATCTATAATTTAGACCCAAACCCTTGATTCTAGAACTAGTATAACATGCTATTGCATAATACCTATTTTTTTATCCTAGAACTAGTACAACATGCTATTGCATAATACCTATTTTTTTATCCCCAGTGCTTAATAAATTGTCAGTGTTTGTTGGTGATTTGAATGAATGCATGTACAACAGCTCCATAAAGCCTCTGGATCTTCCAAAATTATCTGCTGCCATTTTGCTTAAGGAGTATCTGAAATAACATTTTGATGAGCGGCCTTTAGCTTAAGAAAACAGGAATTGGATGGGAGCCCCTCATGACTACAGCATAGTAAGTTAAATCTGTGATGTATATTCCAGGTGTTCTGGCAGGTGTCCTAATGGTAAAAATGCGAGTCATTTCAATGTCTAATAATATCCAGACTTGTTTCCCAGGAACTTCAGAGGACAAAACTCTTCCTGGATGGGTCACATTGTGGGACCTCTGACTCCAATGCAATGTGGGTAGTTCAATGACCAGGTCATTTTGGGATATTTACAGGATACAATGCTGGGAGTACAAAGCAGATAAACACTTCTGCCATCTTGATCCTCAAGTCATTCATGGACAGGTGGCATTTAGAAAGTTCTGAAGATATTCTCTTTGGTTAAGTTCCGCATCAGAAGTGAAGGAGAGCAGATATGAAAGGACAGATGCCAGTTTTACGAGGCTCAAAGCGATGTCAGTTTAAAGAGTCTTATTTAAGAAGAGTATTAAAAGATAAAAAATAAAAAAAATAGAAATTTTCTTAATTAGTAGGACTCTCCTCGTGTGTGGGGAAAGGGGTCCCACAGCTTGGGCTTACTTACCTTTTTGAAAATTTCCCTCTGTAGTGATGATGTAAGAAGACAAAGGGATTTGTGCCATAACATTGATGGGCTGGACATTTCTCAATAAGTACCAGTAAGAGAAATATGTATAAAATAAATGTACATTGAAGTGACAGGGAAAAGGAACTCAAATTCTTTTGGGAAGGAGGGGGTGGGAACTACAAACATTCCCTCCCTCCCTTTGTAGGCAGCCTTCTGCTGGTTGGGTAAATACAGTTGTGCAGGGGGACAGGATGGGTACGGACCTAACTGCTACTTCCTCCTAACAGATCACTCAACTGACACGTGTGATGGATTGTCTTTTTGTCTACCAGGAAGCTGGCCCACAGTAAGGGCTCACTGAAAACTTACTGAACGGATGAGCCAAAGGAGCGATTCCAGATTGAATAAATGAGGCTAGTTTTGAAATAATTTTTTTTCAACATTGGTTTGAATTAAGGGCTTGCTAGGCAGCAGGTCTACTAATTGAGCCATGCCCCCAGTCTTTGAAAGAAAATTTTATTCTGATTCTTCTTTGCTACTAAGAATTTCTTTCTGGATGGGGCTGGGAAGGTGGCTCAGTGGTAGAGAGCTTGACTTGCATGCCTGAGGTCCTAGGTTCGATTCCTCAGCACCACATAAGCAAAAAGAAAAAAGCCGGAAGTGGTGCTGTGGCTCAAGTGGTAGAGTGCTAGCCTTGAGCTGAAGAGCTGAGGGACAGCACCCAGGCCCAGAGTTCAGGCCCCACGACTGGACCCCCCCCCCAAAAAAAAAAAAAGAAAAAAAAAGAATTTCTTTCTGGAAATGGCCTAGGTTTGATGGCAAAAGGATTAGCAAAAGAAATAGATTTAACTATCATTGAAAACCAAGTAGATGCCTTTACCTGATGTCTGTGTACTTATTTAGGCTTTTTAATTTGTTGTGTTATGGGGCTGGGAAGGTGGCTCAGTGGTAGAGTGCTTGCCTTGCATGCATGAGGCCCTGGGTTTGATTCCTCAGCACCACATAAGCAGAAAAAGCCAGAAGTGGCGCTGTGGCTCAAGTGGTAGAGCGCTTGCCTTGAGCTGAAGAGTTGAGGGACAGTGCCCAGACCTAGAGTTCAAGCCCAGGACTGGCAAAAAAATAAATAAATAAAATAAAAAAAAATTGTGTGTTAAGAGGCAAGGAGCTTAGAGAGCTATTCAAGCTCAAATGACACTGCCAGGATTCAAATCCAAGTGTGTAGAGGGTTGGGGTCTCATTGATTCTGTGGCCTCTCCTTTGGTCTCTTCTTTCTCTCTTGGTGACATGGAAGGGGGTGGGGCAATGGGAGGGTGGGAATGTGGGGTAATGAGAAGCCATCCTGCCTGTCACTCGGCAGTGTGTCATCTGGGGCATCTGCGAGATGATAGGATTAGGCTGGATGACCTCTGATGGGGTGCCCATGTGGTCCAGGATGCTGGGGCAGCCCCAATATCTGTTGTATTGCACCATTATTGACCCTTTCCATTCTCAGAAGCATCCCACTATCGACTGTGAATTCTGTGGCTGTCTTACCTATAAAGGTACTTTCTGGTTCTTAATTCCTGTGTCTTCAGATTGAATCAAATGATGATGAAAGCAACCTGAGTTCTCATGTTTACCAGGTCTGTGAGGTATAGCATTGACTACAACTTATATAGAGTTTGCTTTGCTTTTCTGATATGGGTGTATTTTTCTTTAAAAGTAACTACGAAGTCTCCTTCTGTCTCACTTAGTTTAAGTTGGAGTCACTGTATAGAATTTGTTCCTTATATTAAGAGTCCTTATACTAAGTCACTGCTGAAGGCATCATCTCATATAATAAACATATTGATGTTGTCCAACAATTTCTCACTTTGAAAAATCAAAACAGGTTGAGAGAAGTGACTTGCAAGAGAGAGATATGGAGCCAGGACTAACTGCACAATTAACTCCAATGTCATGCTGAAGTATATGCATATAGTACATACATTCAATTATCTGTTGCTAATTTAATAATTATCAATCTTCCTAACTTCCCAGCAGATCTCCTAGATTCATCAGTGTCCATGCCAGATTTTATGGCTTCATCTTCCATTGTTTCCATTGTGAATTTCACAAACAAAGAAGCAGGTTCTCAGGTAAAATACAGGAGAATGGTAAGGATGCTTTCTTACTTGTCAGGACTGTTTTTGGTTGAGTTTGTCTTTACCAGTCTGAACAGAAAACAGAAATTTGTTTTTTTGTTTATATCTGCATAAACAACATTTGACAAACCACCAGCCGACACTGTATCATCTGCTTTTATTTATTGTCTGGCTAATTTACAAAGACGCAGTTGTCTAGGGTAGATTCTACCCTACCACTATCCTGATGACATAGATACCAAAATGTGTCTTTTTACACAGTGTAATGGTATGAAAAAAATACCTTCCTTCCTCTACAGCCCCTGATTATAAACAGTGAAAAAGGAATTTCATACCAAAAAATTGTGGACATTTTAACAACTGTCATATTTCTGCTGCTAAAATAACAAAAGTGGTATTACAAGTCAAAATATAAATGCCTGGTTTTACAAATATGCAAATAATCTGCTACTTAGACATAAAAATGGATTTTTTTTCAAATCACAAAGTAAGGCACCATTGGATTAAACATTTTTCTTGATTTTTACTAAATAAAATGCATAGTGAAATAAATACCAAACACTGAATTTTAATACTGTAATACATTTCAATATAAAACAATATGTGAATGTTAAAGTACTGTATTTATTGCATCTTGAATACTCTTATCTGGAATTTTTATGAAAAAAAAGACCCATTAACACTCTAATTTCAGGGGAAGAAACACTCATTTTTGGGTGATTTGCCATAGTAGATTTTAGCACAGAACTTGGTTGAAGTTTTGAATGCAACTAGGTTGCTAACTTTCAAAGAAAGGATGTAGGTATATTAATGAACCATTCCTTAAAAAATATATTTTAAAACATCTTTACCACAGATGAATGGCAACTTGAGCTGTGACATTGTTTCAATCTTTAGAAAGGTGACAGCAAAGTTGAGATATACAAGGAATTGTCTACTCCTCCTGACCCATATGAAGTGCATTTGAGCCTGACTTCTCTCTGTCACATCTGCTTGGAAGACCATTTTCTACCTTTTGTGAACTGGGTCATTCCATGGTCACAGGGGTGTTTATCCCTGTTGCCATCAGATCAAAGAATCCAAAACAAAATGATGCTGTTAAATTGCCAAAAATGTTAGAAAAAAATCTTTAAGATATTTCGCCAAAGCTTTGTTACATCTTTGTATTTCTTGCTTCTCTTGGAGTAAGAGCTTCAAGTGAATAAGTGAAAGGTAAATAAATGGCAAAGGAGAAGTGAGGAAACAGTTCTCTAATATACTAAGCCAGGACTTTGGCAAGGAAAGTTATATAAAAATACAATATATTCAAATCAGTAATTCATAATTTATTAGACACTCCATGTATTAGACCCTAAGTTCAGTTTTATGTAAATGAAACAGTTATTCTATAAACAGGAATGCATCTTTCAGATTTTTCTTTGGATTGATTTTGCTAGCCTCTCCCAATACTACGTGATTATTCCACTGAAACAAGATATAAAGTTTAGGTAAATATATATACACACATGTGGTTCTGTGCTTTAAGACCATGAATAATGATAATTTTAAACATAATCATTTATAAAACATCAACATGGAAATATTTTTTCCAACTCTACAGCTAGATTTAAAAGTCTTAGTAAAATTTTGTAAACAAAATTATATTTAAAAAGGCAAGTCTGGCTCTTCCATATGGTCTGTTATTGGAGCTTTATTTGCATAGAGTGAGACAAATGATTTTCCTGTAGAGACTAAAAATAAATGTCCTCCAATTTCTACTAGCAAGCTCTTTAATTCACTTAACGCCTGAGTTAGGTTTTTTAGGCTTTTTGCCCTCAGCTCAATGCTGTTTCCTTCCTCCATGATTCTGATTTGATACCATTTCCTGACTCTTTCCCTCTCCTACCTGGCCTTCCTACCCTCTCCCAGCTGTCCCTGAAGAACTAGCTCTGGGAGAAAGAAAGAGAGAAAAAAACACTTCAAATCTGCAAAGCAGGCATTCAGCTGACAAGTGAGCGTACAAGACAGCTGGTTCTGAGTCCTAAAGCCTCCCAAAGGCTTTCGGTTTCTTTCCCATGGCTTTATTCCAAATGATGGTAAACCAGATTAGATTGATTTCTGACCCTGGTATTGTGAGGCAATACTTGGATATTATGGGAAGAGGAGAAAGAAGGGACTAGAATCTAAGGTCAAGCTGCCTGCCGAATAGGTGTTAGGTCCTATCTTTCTTTTTAGGTACCTCTTAAATTGCCAAAGCTCATCTTGCATTTTTGTCTTTTAAACAAAAGATTTGTCTACTTCAAATAGAGAAGCACTCTTTAAGTACAGAATGCACACTGTGTTTTTGAAAATTTGGTACCAAAAAAGAATGTAAAATAGCTCATTGATAATTTTTATATAGATTACAGGTTGAAATGATAATTTGGGTATATAAGGTTAAATAAAATATATTACAATTAATCTGTTTCTTTTTTACCTTTTAAAGAAATCTGGCTACCAATCATTTTAAAGTTGTACACGGGGCTCACATTATATTTCTATTGGAAAACTCTGTCTTGGAGCCTACCTCAGACTGCCCAAGACTGCCCTTCCCGTAACCACAGAGCTACATATGAGCCCTTGCTCAGCAACTTGCTAAGGCGTTCTGTGGTTCATGGAAACAGACAGGAGGCTAAGCATTTGAAAAAGGCCTGGATGAAACCAGCTCTCAGGGACTTTAATAATTACAGCCTGTAGCAAGTAAGCAGTGGATGTTTGAGTCTGTTTGGTTGAAAGCTGGGATATAATTCATCTCTGCCTACTTGCCACAAAAGCCTGATGATCGCAGCAACTAACAATGGCAGGCTCTAGCTGAAGCAAGCAGTCGCTCTGAGACTATATGCATAGGAAAAAGCAAAGTGTGTTTTTTGTACAAGACCCTCCCCCTTCATATTCTCACATCATCCTCATAAGGATAAGGGAAGTGGGGGGAGGGTGTGCACTTCTCAGACAGCATCAACAGAAGCGGCTCTTGAGCTTGGGAAGAGAGAAGCAGGCATAGATCACCTCAGGATGGGTGGGAGGGGTGGGGCACCCCTTTCTCTTCGGTTGGATCCACCTTGAAAAATCAGACAAAACATAATTTTGGTTAGAAAGCTATGTTTTTACTGTGGGGAAATATGGGGATGGCTGGGAAGGTGCCCACTACCTCATTCCCTGTGACCGAGGCTCTAAGATAATTGTGCATGTGGGTGAGAAAGGAAGCATGGGATGACAGGAGTAAACACTGAGTATTCAAAGTAAAAAACATTCTTATTATATGTGTTGATTGTAGATTTAGAAAATACATGCTTGCAGCACCCAGAGATTATGTGTATATTCTTCAGTTATATACATTTCCCTTTTTTATTCCGCAATAGGATTTATTTGACATCTCCCAAAGTCAATACTTCTCACAAATATAATTGTTAATGGAATGTTGCATTTGGTTATATAGGACTATACTATAGTTTATCCAATGAATCTCCTTTTGTTGGGTAAGGTTAATCAGTTCACTTGAAGTCATTTCCCCTGGTTTTATTTACATTTTCATAATGACCAGTGATGTTGAATATCTTTCCATGTGCTTGGTATCTGTATATTTTCTTCAGAAAATGTCTATTATTCAATTATTCAATTTGTTTTAACTGGAGAGTTGTAGGAATGCTATATATACTCTAAGTATTAATCCCTTGTTAGATATATAATTTTCAAACATGTTTTTCAATCCTGCAAATTCTCTTTTTACTCTTTTCATGTGTTCTCATAAAAGCTATCCATGGACTATTTGTGTGCTGAAACTGAGTTTAAAATTCCTTAATATTAAAAAAATTAATTTATCAAACACACAGTTTGAGGAGCTCAACAGGTGTGGGGTGTAAAGTTAATCCTTTAAACAGGTATGCCTGCCTGCCCACTGAGCAGAAACTGAGGGGGCCGCACGATGGGTCCTCAGCAGACACCTTAAGAGAAAACACGTAGACTTAGGGAACCAAGTCCCTGTTTTCTCTGTCTCTTTCTCAGTATCTTCTCTCTCTTTTCTTTTGGTGCTGGTCCTTGGACTTGAACTCAGGGCTTGGGCACTGTCTCTGAACTTTTTTGCTCAAGGCTAGTGCTCTACCACTCGAGCCAAGGCTCCACTTATAGCTTTTTTTTTGTAGCTTAATTGGCGATAAGTGTCTCACAGGCTTTCCTGCCCAGGATGGCTTTGAACCATATTCCTCAGATCTTAGCCTCCTGAGTAGCTAGGAGCACAAGCATGAGCCACCAGGGTCTAGCTTTCTCTCATTTTTCATGCAGCAACTAGGGCTTCAACTCAGAGCCTCACACTCTTGCTTGGATTTTTTTCACTCAAGGTTGGCATTCTGAAACATCCCTACTTATGGATTTTTGCTGGTTAATTGGAAATGAGAGTCTCACAGACTTTTCTGGCTGGGTTGGCTTTGAACTTCAGTTCTCAGATCTCAGCCTCCTGAATAGCTAGGATTATAGGCATGAGCAACCAGTACCTGTCCAGAATCAAGTTTCTAAGGAGAGAAGTTAGAGAAAATACTGTCATTCTACTTGTTTCTTTCTTTCACCATCGCAACCAAATCTTTTCTTGAGAAGGCATAGGAGTAGACTTATTTGGATGTTGACCAGCCATATGTCTTAGAGCCCTGACCATCACCTAGCACACCACAGATGGCCAGCAGAAGGAAGATAGACCTTGTTCCACATCACAAGGTGGCACTCATAGTGTATCACTGCTTGGCACTACCTTGGTGCCCTATCTGGCTCAGGACTTAGAGACTGAGGCAGTGATAGAAGGACAATAAAACCTGGTACTTGATAGTACCTTATTCATTTTTGTTAGATGATCAGTTATTATATCAAGCATGCCTAATATTAGAAATACTTAAATTTTCAGGAGCAGTGGAAATTTACCAACTTACATTTAAAATGCCTACTGTTTCAGGCTTTGTTACTCTAGGAAGATTCTGTTGTAAGCAAAGCACTGTTCTGGCCCTCAAGTTGTTTACTTGAGTCTTAAAGAAAGAAGGGTGGGAGGAAATATGTTTAGCTATCAAGCTGAAAACTACAGGGTATATGGAAGCTGGTTCTCTTACTGATTTAAAAACGCAAATATTTAAGTTACAAGAACTTATAACAAGTCAGAAAAAGTATTTAGAATTTATATAAATAGCTCCTTAATGTAAAATCATTTTAGTGCCCAAGAGGGGGGAATAAGGCTAAATTCTCATTAGAAAGCCCTTCAAATGAAACATAGCCACATCCTCCCTCACTCCCCCAAATCCATGTGAAGACCTCCTTTCATAAAATTTCAGCCACCTTCTCTTATATGGCAATTTTATTATAGTTGGACTTTTAAATTAGGCATTGTCTAGGAATGCATATTCCACCTAAGTGCATTTTTCTAGGAACTGGAAGGTTTCTGTCAGGCACAACGTTGTTTACCTTTGCCATTTGTTCAAGGAAAATTTCCTAGAGTATTTTCTAACTTTGAACTCTTCAACTCTTTTGCACAAAGTGAAATCTGACTCGCTAAATTTAGCCTAATGGAAATGTGCCCAGGCTAGAACATGAAGCACAACTCTGTGTCCCTTCCTCCAGCTTTGAACGGTGACTACCACCTAGCAATTCTCCCCAAGGCCAGTCATTTTACTCCAGATGATATTAATCTACGCTGAAGTTAGGAACCAACCAACCCCAAGTCATGTAAGAACTGGGTGTTAGAACTGGAGACATGGTTCAAGTGGTACAGTACCAGTCGTGAGCAAGAAAGCTGAGTAAGAGTGCAAGGCCCTGAGTTCAAGCCTCAGTCTTGTCAAAACCTAAAACCCAAACCCAAACTGCATGTTAAGAAAAAATAGGCTCTGAACTGGGCGGCAGTGGCTCATGCCTATAATCCTAGCTACTCCAGGAGGCTGAGCTCTGAGAATTGAAGTTCAAAACCAGCCTGTGCAGGAAAGTCTGTGAGACGTGTATCTCCAAATAACCACCAGAAAACCGGAAGTGGCGCTGTGGCTCAAGTGGTAGAGTGCTAGCCTTGAGCTGAATCACTCAGAGACAGTGCCAAGGCCCAGAGTTCAAGCCCTATAACGACCAAAAAAAAAAAGAAAAAATAGGCTCTGAATGTGTGTAAAGTCCTCTTGAAGGAACTAAGACATGGCTATGAATACTGGGACCATTATCTGACTTGCTCAGTTTGGTTCTGAGGCTAAGCTGCTCTAAGTCTGAGCTTCATCAATAATTTCTGTATATCTTATGAAGATTCTTTCTTATTCTTGTGCATTTATTGTGGCATTCCAGAGTGACTACTTTTCCTTCATGCTTACATTTCTTCTTTAATACAGGAACAATGATTTACTTCTTGATTTCTTTCTTTCTTCTTTTGGTTGGTCATGAGGCTTGAACTCAGGGCCTGGGTGCTATCCTTCAGCTCTTTTGCTCAAGGCTAGCACTCTACCATTTGAGCCACAGTACCACTTCCTACTTACTTCTTTATAGAAGCATTACATATATTAGGAAACAACCAGAAGCAATCTAAATGTGAAATAATGATAAATTATTGTGTGCTCACTTGATAGGCTCCTGTGAGACAAAGTATGTGATAAAAAAAGCCGCCACCAAAAAACTCCACTATGCAAAAATTCAGAATTATATGGATAAGAATGGGAAAAGGATCTGGCAAGGTGAAAATATTTGTTCCTTGGAAAGATTATGGATATGTATCACATTTTCATATGATGAACCATAAAGCTATGTTTATGACACATTTAATAAAAGATGGTTTCACTTTTGCAATCTCAGGTAGATCAGAGGGGAAACATGGTCCAAGGAAGCAAGATAATAGAATCTAATACTTGTAAAACAAAGTATTTTGTTACAAGCTTTGCGCTTGTAACAACACCTTAAAATAATCATATGTCACACACACAATACAGGGATCTTATTCTCCTCACTACACATGGAAGGGGAAGTTCCTAGAATTTCTACCCGACTTTGGACAAAAGGTCCAAAGGTAACTCAGGCTACTTATGGACAAATCTGCCAAATGTGCTAGCAGAGATACTCACTCCGGCTTTCATTTCTTGCCAACTTGCTGGGATAACTTTTGGTGCTTGGTACATATGGCTCTGGAGGTGGCAGATCAGAAATTGGATGGAAGTAGAATCTGCTTTCCCACTCATCTGAGGGAGAAACAAACAGTGTCTTCAGCACAGACAATCTGCTAAGACAATTTATGTAATGAAAAAACTCATAAAGAAACAGAAAGAGGGCTATAGAAATCAGTTTTAGTTTTATGCTGAGAAGTTTGCAGAGCAGCTGGCAGTGCTACAAATGTCACTTGTTAGTATGTGGATAAAATATACAGGACTACAATCAAAAGCATGGAGATTTTAGCCAGTGATCCAGCATTTCCTATTAGGAACTGGGCTCCCACCAGTGGGCACAGCATAACTGGAACCATTCTGAGAATATGGTAGGAAATGCTTTCATATCTGCAAGCCTGTTTAGAAATGTAGGGTATAAGGAAGTTCTTTTCAGAATTCTGGAATCTCTGGAAATGAGACATAAACAAGTAACAATTCAGAGAAAGATGAGATGTCTTTTGGGAAATGGGATGGAGGGATTTAATTATTTTTAGTATGAAATTCTAGTGGCCCTGTCATAGTTTGCTCAGTACAGTGCAACGTGCTAACAATGATGGAACATGAATGTTAACTCAGGCAAACACCACACACCTTCACATGATGAATCTTGGAAGCCATTTCTAACCGATGCTGATGGCGGAGGTGGGGGAGGCGCCCCAGCACCAGGCCTGTCAGGAGGAAGAGGTGGCCTGGGCCCACTCCTGGGACTATCTCCTCCACTCCTGGATGGCATCTGAGGGGTAGCCGGCAGGGCCCGAGATGCACTGCCATTTCTGCCTATTGGAGGCGGTGGTGGGAGGGGGCCTGAGGCAAAAGAGAAGACATTGAGTGCAATGGTATCTTACATGCCTTATTGCTATTGTAGTCATCATCAGTATGCAACTATGAGTATCTTCCTGGATACATGCCTTTTAACTAGTGACAATGGAGAAATGGGGGATGTTCCAGGACATGACAAGTGAGTGGCATATATAAACACAAAATGTACATGTGTCCATGTGGGTGTGCAAAGTGAGTGTGAGTGAGCATTGTGACTAGAGCTGAAATGTTGAAACCAGAATCAGGTGATAAACTGTTTGTACTTAGGGTATAATTAGAAACCATTTATAATCTTGAATTTGGTTCCAGGCAGAAGTGGCATTGGGAAGCTAAATGCTAGTCATCCTGAGAAGAGCAGGAGTTCCTTCTTGGTTCTCCTCTTTGGGGAGGTTAGATTGAGCACAGGGAGTGACAAATGCTAATCAATACTCCTGGTATTGATAATCAATGCCCTGGGTCCTGCCTTGGGAAAGCTGCTGCTCTATAGAGCTAGATTCCTGGTCTACAGAGTACAGTGTAGTTGTTACCTTTTCCTAATACCACTGCCAGGACTATTCATTTCTCAGAAAAATTCTAAGTACATTCTCATAATACTGAAGAAATCCTTCTTGTTTTCCTCATCCACCAAATGCAGAGGATATTTGTGTAGTAAATTAAGAAAATAGAAACAAAACCTTGAGCATTTCCCATGTAAATCTAAGTGGCCTTCCTGATCTTCAGCAGTGCATTTTACTTGTAAGATGCCCTCACTTTATGTAAATTCGGCATATAATTATCTCATTACTCTTAGGTTCAGCATCCAGCTAAAGACTTTCAGTTGCACAATGTGCCCACTTCAGATAACCTTGGCAAAAATTTTTGGTTCCAACATTTGATGGGAGTGGAGGTAGGAAGTGCTGCCCAGCCGCTGATTTCTCAAGGAGTCTTTGGTGTCTCACCGAGAGTTGACCTAGGCTGGCTAAGAGTCGTCTCACATGTGGGTTTGATGTCTCTGGTAATATCACCAACCTGACTGCTCCAAATACGAACTATAATACCAATATTACAGGGCACACTACCATTGAACTTTATCAAGTTCATCTCATTTTGTTTTTTAAAGTAAATGTTCATGTTCCCAACTGTCTGGCCCATGACACCTGCTCCAAATATAGATTGGCACAATGGAAAGCAGACTTATCTTTTTCATTGGCAGGATAATACTAAAAATGGCCATTCATTGAATAATAAAACTATATGCCAGAAAATAAGAGAACTTCTCTGTATACTGTCTCCTTTAAATTCTTTCAACTCTAAGAAGTTCAGAGGCAGTGTGTGTGGGCTCAGAAATTTTAGAAGTTCCTAAAGCCCAAGCCAGGAGGGGAATAAATGGAAAAGAAAGGATTTAACTTCAAATTGTAAAGCTCATTCCCCCAATAATGAAGACAACCGAATTTCAAGAAATAGTTGCCTCTTGATGACCTTGCATGTAGTTCTTGTAGTAATGTAAATTGCTAGGAATTTTCTGGAAGGATATTTGCCAGCATCTACAGAATTCACAGTAAGCTATGAAGTATTACTCCAGCATTCTATCTTTAGGAACTCCTCCAAAGGAAATAGATGTGAATAAATATTTAGCTACTAGGATGCATCACTGTATTATCTGTAACAGCAAACACATAGAGATGGTAGAATATGCCTATAACCTGAGCACTCAGGTGGAGTGAGGAGGATTACTAGTTAGTTCAAGGCCAACCTGGTTCACACAATGAGAGACTCTTAAAATCCAAAACCAAATTAAATAAAAATCTAGTGATGGCTCATAGAGTCGAAGGATGTGACAGCATAAATAAGTCAAGGTACATCTGTAGGAGCTAATACTGTTCAACCATAATAGTTTGCACAAGAATAATCCTATCAGAAAATGTCAATGAAATCTTTCAAAAGCAAATTACCACATATTTGTGGTGCCAATGTTGCCATAATTGATACTCTTTTTAAGAGGCTTGGAAAGATACATAAATGTTAATAACTATTATTTATGTATTGTTTCTGCATGGTAGTGGTAGGATTTCAGGTGATTTTTATTTTCTGAATACTTTTCTCTATTTCTATATTAAATGGGTATGACTTTTATGCAGTATGAAGAGAAAATACATGTTATTTGTTACTGCCTATATTAAATTTGTTTATTCATCAACTTGGTAGAGCTATGCAGAAAGGTCCTCAGTTACTTTGCAGATAAATCCATAGCTATTGGAGGAGAAAAACGTCATAGTTCACTCATCTATCTGAGGGACCTAAGTTGGCCAGTGAAGAAAACTTACAGCAATGCCATTAAGACTGGGATGAGATTTAATGGAGTAGTGACTTCTTAATATTTGAATCAATTCTCCATGGCATGTTGGTTTGAAGGAGTGGGTTTCAAACTCTTTTGTGCATTACAATCACCCCAGTACGTGGAAGTATCCTGATGCCTACTCTGCTTCTAGACTGATGATGGGAATCCCGAGAAAGGGACCCAGACCTCTAAGTTTTTTAAGACTCTCCGATGATTCCAGCATGTGATCAAGTTTGAAGACCACTGATTTAAAGAATGCGGTTCATTAGGTTCCTGAGATCCTGGGGTCAAAAGTCAGTTGACTTCTCTTAAAAGAAAAATGCCCCATTTCAGACATGATGTAGTATGCATGATATGATGAAAACTTGAAAAGTAGGACCTGGGGATGTGGCTCAATGGTAGAGTATCTACCTACTGTGATGTGATCCCCAGCACAGAGGGGGTGGGGGGAAGAGACTGAGTTTATCAAAAGCATTGTATGTCAAGAGCACGTATTCTATTAAAATGCCTATTATAATCCAGTGAATGAGAAAAATTAGGAAATGGCTTTAGCAGGCCCTTCAAACCATGTAAATGCATGCTTGTTTTGTTTCATTTTGCAGTGCTGAGGATTGAATCCAGGGCCTCATGCATGCTAAGGCAAGGGCTCTACCGCTAAGTTACATCCCCAGCCCAACATGTAAATTTTGATTTTATGAATATGAGCATTTTTATAAAAAGAAGTTGATACCTTTGTTTGACTCTCCAAGGGATTTATATCCCAGAGGTGTTAGCAAAGGACAAATTGGACTTTTTAGCATGTGAGTGAAGTGGCCTCAAAGCCTGGGAAACGAAGAGAGAAGTTTAGAAGTTCATTAGCTCTGACATGACCATCCTTCTGGGAATCACGGGGTCCTCCTCTATGATGAGACTATACCCAACTAAGATGGTTGAGCTTGGGTTTAGGGAGGCAGGGCAGCAGAGACCAGAATGTACTGAGGGAAGGTGAAATTCCAGCCTTTCCTATCAACTGTCTAGAATCATTTACTTGTTGGTTAGCCTCACCTTTAAACACAAACTGAATTGCTGGGCCCTTCCTCAGAGGTTTGACATCATACAAGTCAGTGTTGCTTAAAAGCATGAAGTGGTCTGAGGTTTTGCTTGTGTTCTTAACTGATTCACCCATGATATTTAGATATTCACCAGTGATATTCACTGGTGACATTTAGGGAGGCTGGATTTTTGGGAGACTACTCACCCAGGTCTTGCCATACCTGATCTGCCTGGTGGATCCCTCACAGGAGGAGGGGGCCTCTCATTGGGCAGGGGAGGAAGAGGTCCCGAGCGTCCTGCTGTAGGTAAGGGAGGTGCAGACGAAGTGAGGGACAAATTCCGCTGCGGGAGTCTTGGGATTTCATCACTGCTGCTGGAAGCTGGAGGCAGGGGAGGAGGGCCAGGCCTGCTTGGTGGTGGAGGAGGAGGTGGGGCCTGCGAGGAGGGGGAAGGCCGCGGGGTAGAAGGCACTGGAGGCTTGTTGTTTTGCGGGGGAGGAGGTGGAACTGCTTCCCTGTGCATGGTGGGTCTGTTGCCCACTGGAGGAGGTGGTGGAGGGGGTTTGTCATCCAAGGCCCTGCTCGGTGTGGGAGGCAGGGGAGGCCTGTTAGAGAAGGGAGAGGAGGAGCCCACAGGGGTCTGGCGGATGGAGCCTCCTCCAAAAGCAGCACCTCGGTTTCCAGGGAAAGGTGGAGGGGTGGGCCCCAGGCTGAGCTGCCTGGGGGCTCCTGGCACTGGTAGGGCCCCTCGGTTGTGTGGAGTTGACTGGACGGGTCTTGGTGTATTCGGCACCGGAGGGGGGAGGTTATCAGGCTTTGAGCTCACATCGGGCCTTGGGGGAGGCATTCGGTTCCTAGGTGGCTCTGGCGGACCAATTCTGTGGCCTGGAGAAGGCACGGGAAACCTCCCTGGGCCACTCGGGGGTGAGAAAGGCTTGGCAGATGTGGCTCTTCCTCCTGGGGGCAAAATTGGTGGACGGCTTCCTCCAGAATCTAAAGAATAGGAAAAGAGTACTCAGTTAGAAAATTAGGAAGCCTACCAAAAATCAGCAAGCTGGGGTGTATTCCTAGCTACTGGAAGTCCTTCACTAAAGGGCTATACATTACAGATTAAAAAAAAAATCAAAATTGTAGTATTTGTATAATATATAAGTGGGTTTTCTGGAGGCACAGGAGTAGACTTCAGATCCTTGTCTGCCTTCTAATTCCAAGCTTGCACCCACAGGCTTTCAAACAGACTTTTGAGATATTATTTAGCAATAAATAGGGGGAGGAGCCAGGGTGAAATTCAGCAGCATTCTGGAAGGGCCCCTATGCATCACAAAAGGGTAAGCACAAGATGGCATAGGTAATGGGACTTCTGCTAATGATTTTCATTTATTCCCCACTGCTGTCTCCTTGTACCTCTCATGTTCATAAAATAATTCAACCATTGTAAGCAAAAACAAAATATGCATCTATCTATCTATCTATCTATCTATCTATCTATCTATCTATCTATCTATCTATCTAATCTATTTACTTTATGGTGCTAGGCAGCAAACCCAGAGACTTGGCAAACACTCTGTCACTGATCCTCAGCCCTTAGTTATCCCAATATACATCTCCATGTGCAAAGCTTACTTAATCCCTTTGAAAGAAGTGCCCAAGAAATTTGAGGGGGGGTATTTTTTTTTTTTTGGGTTGGTCATTGGGCTTGAACTCTAGGCCTGGGTGCTGTCCCTGAGCTCTTCAGCTCAAGGTTAGTGCTCTTAAGGCACAGTACCACTGCTGGTTTTCTGGTGGTTAATTGGAGATAAGAGTCTCATGGACTTCCTGCCCAGGCTGGCTTTGAACCACGATCCTTAAATCTCAGCTTACTGAGTAGCTAGGATTACAGGTGTGAGCCACCAGTGCCCGGCCAAGGGGAGGGGGGGTGGTGAGGCAGGGAGGATTTTACTGGGAGAGTTAAGAAAGCACTAAGAATGGGAAAATAAATTAATAGAATTGACACTAATAGAAGGAATTCACTTGCAAAGGAGTAGGCAATCAAACACGTAACTTTTTTTTGTTGTTCCTATTGAGTCAACTTCCATTTCAATATTGGTAGGACAGAACACCTCTATAAAACCATGTTGGCTCAACAAATGAACCAATTTGGCTGAACCAAAAAAGCTAAAGTTTAGGGAGGAACTTAAAGGGCGAAACAGATGTGGAAAATTACAACCACTCCCTTTAAACTCTTGAAATCCAAGTAATTCTTGAAAAATGGTAAGCCTTAAAACATGTACCTCTTTCATCATGAGCTAATTAATGTATCAAATATGTACTATTTTCCAACCATTATTCTAGATACTACAAAGAAATAGGCAAAGCAGGTGAGATCCTGCTCTCCTATATATAGTTTACATTTTTGTAGGGGAGATAAGACAAAAAAACCAGTAAATAAATATTTTCTGATAAGTTATAAGAATCAAGTGTTTGGAGAGGCTGGAAAGAAAGGTGCTAGGGTCAGCTCTTCTATGGATGTGACATGTGGCTGAGACCTGACAAGAAGTGGATGGCCATGGGAAGGTGAGGAAGAGACTGCAGGCAGCAGGCCAGCAGGTGCAAAGGCCTTGACACAAAGACTCCATAGGAAACAGAGGCTGAGTGGCCAGAGGAGCTGGGTCACAACCAGACTTGCAGGCCTGAATTCTTTATTTTATTCTAGGCACAAGAAGAAGCATTTGGAAGATTTTGTCAGTGGAGTAGCATAGGCTTGGGGGAGAATGTTTTATTTTGACTTTAGCACTAGAAAGAAAATCTGTATTTTCCTTGACCAGACATAATAACTCTATGTCACTGAGCTGTATCCTCCAAGTTCACATTCAAGCTGTAGTTATCATCCACCTTAACAAAGGCAAAGCATTTCTGTTATACCATTCTGTTCACTAAACTTGAATTCACCTTTATTTTACTTTTTTCCTTTACTTTTGCTTTCACTTTACTTATTGCCAAAGCATAAATGAATGTGTCAGCTATGTCAAATGCCTTGGGTGGGTAGGCTTTTAAGTAAACTGTTTATTATTTTTTAAATGGTACTAGGTATTGAACTGAGGACTTTAAGCTTCCTAAGCAACTGTGTTACCATTTGATTCAGACTCCCAGACCGTAAGCAAACAAACTTAGACACAAGTTTGGCAAGATGGGCTGTCTCCTGTGAGTATTTTGGATATTAACTGTATGTCTCCTGACACTGCGTACTAGAGTCTCAAGATTATGACCATCCATGTGAACAGTCATCTAGCCCTGAGCAGTCAGTGATTTTATCTTCAAATGAATGTGAGAATTTGATTGTTTTTTCTTTTTCTAGAGGAAATTTTACAAGATCACACAATTAGAAATAAAATTCTTCTAATGTGATAAACATTTTCCTCAAATAGTTTTAGGTAAAATTTCTGGATTCTTCTGAAGGAGTCAAGAGAACCAACATACTGCTAGTCTCCAAAATGCTTCTGGTTTTAAGTATTTCAGGCAAGATAGTTGCTGTTCTTAGAACCACAGGCGCTATCTGAATGGTAGACATGGTATTTAGATTTAGTAAGATGTGTAGCTATATTTCCTCTGATGTGCTTAATAGTACATTTGAAGAGTGGCTCACAAATATTTGCTAGGTTAGAGAGGAGGTATGGTGTCTTCCAGAGAAAGCTGCTCTTAGGTACCGGGACAGACTGGGGAAGAGGGGGATGGAGATATGTTCCATAGGCTCCTTTCTCTCTTCCTCCTTTGCTTACCACTACACAAGAGGACAGGTTATCCTCAAGGATACTAGGCAAGTATTCCATAGTTCTGTGGAGCTGCCTGATCCTGTTTGATAAACGGGAGCAGAGCACAGTGTCCTGTAAAGAAATGGTAACCTTTCGAACACTATAAACTATTTTAAAGGACACAGAGACTTAGGGGGTCTGCCAAGCCTCCAAGCTGCCAAACTTAAGTCTTAGTTACTCAAGAAGGGCATGCATACCATTATCTCTGTTGGCCGTGGATCTCAGCTTTGGCATTCCAGCCTGGAACAATCCTCCTAATCCAGGAGGTCCTCCTCCTCCTCCAAAATTGCCACCACTGCCTCCACTGCTGCCGCCACCACTGAAGCCACCACTGCCCCCGGCTCCTTTTGGTTCTGTAGAGAAAGAAAAGTATATGCATAAAAAAACACCTTAGCATTTCACCAGGCATAGCCCAAGGACTCCATAAAACAAAGATATGGCAGAAGCCTCGGTTTTCCTTACCCCAGTCAAGACAGAAGCAATCCTGAGTCCAGGGGTGGAAGAAACAGTAAGACGGATGGTGCCCAGAACCCCTACCTGCTCAGCCGTCATCTGGGTTAATGTCTATTTATTTCCTATCCTAAGATTTAGCAAATAAAAAAATCTCCAAAAGAAAAGAGTCTCAAAGGGGTGGGGATCAACAAAAAGTAAAAAATAGTAAAGAAATAAAAATAAAATCTTTCATAATGTTACTCCTTGGAAATACCCACTTTTGTATTTTTTCAGTCAGTTCCTATTTATTTATTTACTTAATTATAGTGCTGGTTTTGGGGCTTGAACTCATGGCCTTGTACTCTCACTTGCCCTTTTCACTCAAGGCTGGTGCTCTACCACTTGAGCCACACCACCATTTCCAGCTTTTTGTTGTTTAATTGGAGGTTAAGTCTCATGGACTTTTCTGCCCAGGTTGGCTTCAAACCACAATCCTGAGATTTCAGCCTCCTCAGTAGCTAAAATTACAGGCATGAGCATCACCACGAGCCCCTGGCTATATCAGTTTATGTGTTTTGTTTTGTAAAATTAATAGCAGTTTTTAGCCTGCTGTTATTTATAAATTACCACATTACTATTAGCATTCCCCATTAAGCATGCTTTAAAATGAGTTTAAAGATCGCATTGTATTTTAGACCATGAATATATTATAATTTATCTAACCACCCACTTCTTTGATGGCATGTTGGGTTGGTTTTTTTTTTTTGGTTGGTTGTGGGGCTTGAACTCTGAGCCTGGTTGCTATCCCTGTGCTCTTCAGCTCAAGGCAAGAGCTCTACCACTTGAGCCATAGTGCCACTCCTAGTTTTCTGGTGGTTAATTGGAGATAATAGTCTCATGGACTTTCCTGCCCAGCCTGGCTTTGAACAATGATTCTCAGATCTCAGCCTCCTGAGTAGCTAGGATTACAGGCATAAGCCACTGGCACCCGGCTTGATTTTAATTTTTTTAATATCAAGTCCAACAGTAGGCTTTAACAATTAAATAATTCTTTGAAATTCTAGAAGGTGTCAGATTTTGTTTTGAATTGCATTAAATTGTAGAAATTGTGGAAGCATTAAATTGTAGAAATTGTGGAAGATTTTGAGATGGGAAACAATAACAAATAAATGCCACAAAGAATGAGAGGGGGGGGGAGGAGAGGGGGAGGGAAAAAGAGAGAGACAGACACAGAGACAAAGACATGGAAAGAGACAGAGTGAGAGAGAGACGATAGGGAGAGGAAGAGGTGTGTTAATGAGCACTCTGTCTGGCTAGCTTTCTGGGTTAACATATATGTATGTATGTATGTTTGTATTTATGAAATTGAACATTGTTTAAAATCTTATCCCCCCCAAAGTCAAATATTTGATAAGTAATACATAAAGATCTATAAATGAAGCTGGGAGAATGGACACCTTTATAATATTTAGATGTCACATTTGGAAATGTGGTATATCTTCCAATTTATCCATGTGGCTGGGAAGGTGGCTCAGTGGTAGAGCGCTTGCCTTGCATACATGAGGCCCTAGGTTCGATTCCTCAGTACCACATAAGCAGAAAAAAAAAGGCCGGAACTGGCGCTGTGGCTCAAGTGGTAGAGCGCTCGCCTTGAGCTGAAGAGCTGAGGGACAGCGCCCAGGTCCAGAGTTCAGGCCCCACGACTGGACCCCCCCCCCCCCCAAAAAAAAAAAAAAAAAAAAAAAGCGCTTGCCAATTTATCCATGTGATCTGGATTTTTTGGAAATGTTTTGTTCATTTTATCTAAAGGTTCTTTTGGGGTTAGGATTACTCTGAATATATTTTTGTTTGTTGAAATTGTAGAAGGAATGCCAGTTGCTCATGCCTGTAATCCTAGCTACTCAGGAGGCTGAGATCTGAGGATCATGGTTCAAAGCCAGCCCAGGCAGGAAAGTCCATGAGACTCTTATCTCCAATTAACCACCGTAAAACTGGAAGTGGCGCTGTGGCTCAAGTGGTAGAGCACTCGCCTTGAGCTGAAGAGCTGAGGGACAATGCCCAGGCTCAGAGTTCAAGCCCCACTACTGACAGAAAAAAAAAAAAGAAATTGTAAGAGACATTTTTCCAGTTAATAATTGGTTATTGTTGGCAAGAAATGTCATTTAATTTCTAATTAGCCACTTTGCTGTACATTGTAAGTTCAAATATACAAAATAGTCTTGCACTTTCTAGTTGACAATAAAAATAATGTTGAACAATAAAAATTTTGCCTCTTCTTTTTTAGGAGTTGTATATCTTAACCTGTTTCTATTTTATACAGGTAATTACTCTGAACTTCTATAACAATTATATTACTAATGTTGTTAATGTTGATTGTGTTCTGATTTTAATGAGGACACCTGTAATGTTTCACAGTACATATTAGTATGCAATTGAATTTTTTTTTCTTTTCTAAGTATTTGCAGTGAGGAAGGACCCTTCCATGTTAGGATTTTAAACTTTCTGGTAGTATACCTACCAAGGTAACTATATGATTTTTCTTATTTGATAGGATAGATTTTTGATAGATTTTTTTGATCTAGCATTAAAAATGGGATAAACTCATGAAAGTTAGAATCTGTTTGTGACTTTAACTAAGCATCACTATTCCACAATACTGTGAAATTTGTGAAATTATATAATCACTTAATCACAATAAAGAATTTGTAAAAAAAATGGGATAAACTTTGGTCTTGGTGAATTATTCCTTTAATATTATTTAAAATTAGATTAAAAATTGGCATTCTTTCATTTCTGATTATAAATGATCTGTGATAGGGCTTCTTAGTTTGGGAGCTACTGACTGACAATCTTCTGGATAAATCTTTGTTGTTGTTAGCTGTTATTCTTTATAGAATGTTTAGAGCACTCTGGCCTCTACCCACTAGCTTCCCTTACCCTTTAGTTGTAACAACTAAAAATGTCTTCAAGAGCTAAGTGGACTCTACGGTGGTCAAGCGCTTGCCTAGCATGTGCCTTTCAAAAACAAAAAACAAACAAAACCCAAAAAAACCAAGGCAGTAAGTACAAGGCTTGGGACTCAGGGGCATTGCTCTTGTTAGGCAGCTTCTACCACTTCAGCTACGCCTCTAGTTCTTTTTGAGACAGTGTCTTGCTTTTTGCTTGGGCCTAGACCTCTGTTTTCCTATTTATGCTTTCTAGTGTCTGGGATGACAGCCAAATACTTATCAAGCACAGTTTTTTGGTTTTTGTTTTTTTTTCTGTTGAGATAGAGTCTTGTAAACTTTTTGCTCAGGCTGGCATGGTACTTTGATCCATCTGATCTCAACTTTCCAGGTAGTCAAATTTTTATATTAGGATCACGATACTTTCATTATACTTATCAGATATTTGGTCATTTCTACTTAGAAATGATTTATACATCCTTTCAACTGTTTCTGAAAAAGAAAGAATTCATCATTTATCCTCTGGCTTCATAGCATTTTAGAGAGAAAATAATCTTATAAAATTATAATCTTTGTCATTGTTCACTGAGGCTTCCCAAGTGAAGTTTGATAAATTAATGTTGTCTAAGAAAATTATTCCTTTAAGATTTTAAAATAAGCTGGGAATAATGATGCATGCCTATAATCCAGTACTCAATAGGCTGAGGCAGGCAGATCACTGGTATGGCTGTGGATCATTTATTTATTCTGTTGTAAATGCTAATAAGTAGCCTTGTATTGTGAGTGCTTACTTGTCTATACATCCCTTGCCTTGGTGCAGAAAGCATCTCTGAGTCAGATGGGTAGATAAGCAAAATCACAATCTCATTTTGTCTCTCTCCAAACTCCTAGTGATCCTTTCTTATAGCCTAGACAACAAACACTTGTGCAAACATTTCACATTTGAAGCTCACAACAAATTTGTTAGTAAGGACAGTAGAAAAGCTATCATGATGGATGTGTCAGGACCTTGTCCTCCATCCTTTGGTTGCAAGGTAGGACACTTTACATGTTTCATGGTGCCTCCTGACCTGTGGTGCCAGGAGCAATGGGTTAAACACCAAAAGTTTGGTAAATAATTTAGAGAATCACTGCTGTGTATGCCTTGGACAAAGAATTATTATACTGGCTTCCTGCAGCATTAGAGGAGAATCCAAGCCTAAGCTGTGGGCCACAATTCACGATCCAGTCCCTTATTTTGACAGCTCTGCAGCTGTTGTTAACAAAAAAATTGCTTTGTGGGAAGTTAGGCAATAAACTATCTTCATGGAAGAAAGCTTTTTTTTTTTACTTACTGTCCAATATTGGGGCACTTCTGTCATTGGTGACTGTCTTCTTTAGTTTCTTTCCTTTGCTGATGTCAGAGAGAAGAGCATTTCTCCCAGCCTGCTCTGACTTATTCAAGGTAGGCTTCTCTGTATTGGCCTGAAAGGAAACCACACAAACTCATAAGCTGCTCTTGGATTAACACCATGGATTATAGCATTCTGCTGAACAAGAAGACTACTGGAAGGTTGTCATTAAGGTTCTTGGATATGGAGTGTAAATTCTCTATTAGGTTATACTCCATGCCACTCTTTAAGATTCAGATGTTTGGATGCAGTAGTAGAGTGCATTCATTTTTAATGCAGGATGGAGTCAGTCCCTGATAAACTCAGAACATAGTCTGGGTGTAACCGGCAGGTTAAGTAGACAGTTCCTACAAGAAGGGAACTTTAAGTCAGAGAAGATTTTGCGGAGCTTGTTGGTTTATCCTCCAGGAGGTATCTTGAGTAATAGGACTCAATGCCCATTTCTTAGAACCCACCTGATGCAAAGGAAAAAATGTCTCTGATAAGAAAAAGTGGGTTTATGGGGCTGGGAAGGTGGCTCAGTGGTAGAGCGCTTGCCTTGCATGCATGAGGCCTTGGGTTCGATTCCTCAGCACCACATAAGCAAAAAGAAAAAAGCTGTAAGTGGCATTGTGGCTCAAGTGGTAGAGCGCTAGCCTTGAGCTGAAGAGCTGAGGGACAGTGCCCAGGCCCAGAGTTCAGGCCCCAGGACTGGACCCCCCCCCCCCAAAAAAAAAACACACACACACACACAAGAAAATGTGGGCTTAAAAACTGAAGTTTTGAAAATATTTTCATCTGAATAACATTGATAAAGATTTTTTTATCTAAGTCAGATTTACTAAGGTATAATCTACTTATAATGAAATCAGCCTTCCAATTTACAGGGCTTGTATTTTATTTTGTCAGTCCTAGGGTTTGAACTCTGGGCCTGGGTTCTGTCCCTGAGCTTCTTTTGCTCAAGGCTAGTACTCTACCACTTGAGAGGCAGTGTCACTTTACTTTTTTTGAGTAGCTTATTGGAGATAAGACTTTCTTGCCTGGGCTGGCTTTAAACCTCCATCCTCAGATCTCAGCCTCCTGAGTCACTCAGTTTATAGTTTTGCAACTTTTTTTCCCCCACCATCACTGAAATGCTAACACAAAGACTATAACAGATAGTTTTCTGTTAATTAGATAGTCATTTGTCAAGTTGCCTAATTTCTACTTTTATTCTTATTTTTTTTGTGTGAGTAGGCTGGCACTGGGCTTGAACTAGGGGACTTGAGTTCTCACTTGGCCAGTGCTCTACCACTTGAGCTACAGCTCCACTTCTGGCTTTTTGCTGGTTAACTGGAGAGAAGAGTCTCATGGAGTTTTCTGCCTGGGGCTGACTTTGAGCCTTAATTCTCAGATCTCAGCTTCTTGAGTAGCTAGGATTATAAGAGTGAGCCACCAATGCCTGGCTCAGTTCTGTAGGTCTTGACAGAGCATAACTATCATAATAAGATATAGAATATTTTCATTCCAAAAAGTTCCCTTGCGTCCCTTTGGCCTAAGTTATTTCTAATGCTTAACAGTTTAGAGACTGCAGTGATGCTGCTTTCAGAAGTTTGGGTATTTTCTCGTTTTTGAGTTACTGGGGATTGTGGTTTGAACCTAGGATCTCATAATGCTAGGCATGCCCCAGCACTTTTGTTTCTATCTTGTTTTTGAGATAGTGTCTTTCTGTGTCACGGCTTGACTTGAACTTTTGATTCTCCTGCTTCCACCTCCTAAGTAGCTAGGATAATACGTGCGTAGCATTGGTATTTTCTTACAGTCCCCAAATTCTTGGAAAGAATCTTACCATAAAATTGAAATCTTTTTTCCTTTGGCGTTATTTTAGGACTGGTACACTAAGTGTCTAGCACATGGGCTTGGAAGCAGACATCTGCCTGTGTCTGTCACATGTGGAAACTGGGTTGACACTGCCTGGCTCCAGGAAGCCACAGGTCCTTCCAGGAGAACCAAGAGTCCTCCTGGCTGGCTCTGTCTCTGAAAAGGGCATGATTTCAGATGAGCCAGTGAGGGTCACAAGAGGTAAAGCTGGAGAAACATATGGCTTGACACCTCCCCAGATTTATATTAACAGAGGCAGAGGCAGAGGTAGAGGGGGAGCTAAGAGGAACCTAGAAATAGGCTACATAGAATTACTATATGTTAATTTGGAAGTATCTTGAAATTAATCATGATAATAACATGTAACATTTTTGTAGCTGTTACTCTAGGTCAGGTACTGTTTTCAGTACTTTATGTGTACTACTTATGTAGTCCTCACCAACTCAGTGAGATACTTCCATTTTACAAGACAAGGAGAGTGAGGCATGGAAGCATCAAATCATTTGCTCCAGTCATCAGATTCAAACTCTGGGAGTGTGACTCCACAGTGCTCTCTACAGGACTGCTCCTGCAAACTCCTGTCTTGGACCATCTCATTTCCCATGAGGGACAGAGGTCCAGGAAACCTAATAACCCACATTCCCAGCTTGTACTATGTACTGTACGAGACTTTGGTCAAACAAACCCTGCATGTTGTTTGGATTCTTGAGGTCTCAGGGTTTGGCAAGCCTGCTGGATTGTGCCTTTTCACTTAGCTTGGCCTACTTTATGCATAGAAATGTGAGTAGAGAAACCCAGGCATGATGGCAATGTCCGCACAGTCCCGGCACTGGGAGGTATGGTATGGGCAGGAGTGAGTTAGATGACAGCTTGGACAACAAAGTGAAAACCCTGTCTAAAAAAAAGTTGTTGTTGTTTTTAAGTGAATAAAAGAGGTGAACTGTAGCACTAGTTAACCTTCCTGAAAATACTTAAATGGCAAGAGCACTCACCAGTGCAAATGTTGGTGGCGGTGGGGGCGCTGGTGGGGGAGGGACAGGCATCTTGGATAGTTATGCTTTCAACAGTCTTGCTGATAAATCTGTAAAGACAACACACACACAGCTATTAGATTTCTCATTAACTCTTATTTTTCCTGCCAGCTTCAATTTGGCAAACTTTTTTTTGGGGGGGTCCAGTTGTGGGGCCTGAACTCTGGGCCTGGGCGCTATCCCTCAGCTCTTCAGCTTAAGGCTAGCGCTCTACCACTTGAGCCACAGTGCCACTTGCGGCTTTTTTCTTTTTTTCTTTTTATTTCTTTTTATTGTGAGCATACTGTACAGAGGGGTTACAATTACATGGGCAAGATAATGAGTACATTTCTTATCAAGCATTGCAGCCTCCTCCTTTGTTTACCCTTCACATCCCTTCCCAGCCTCCCCCCCCACCCAACCCCCCCCCAAAGTTGTAAAGTTTGTTTTCGACATGACAACTTGTATTTCTCATTGTTACAACGGGTCCACCTGTATCCTTAAACGACTTGCTTTTCCCCTTCTCCTCCACAAATTATACCGACATCAAATATAGTGAAAGCAGGGTTATACTGTGGGGGAGGGACATACAAAGCAGCAAAGAAATAATCTTATAAATGCGTTAGAAACAAATGCATGAAAGAAAAAAAAACATTTAGCTTTTTTCTTTTTGCTTATGTGGTGCTAAGGAATCGAACCCAGGGCCTCAGGCAAGCAAGGCAAGTGCTCTACCACTGAGCCACCTTCCCAGCCCCCACTTAGGCAAACTTTTAAAAGGGATTGAGTTACTTTTCTTTCCCTCATGGCTCAGACAAGGCTATTCTGAAAGGACCCTACAAACAGAGGGTGAGTGCTGGGACAGGTTTCTGGGCAATGGTGTCTGAAGAGCAGAACTCACACCCAGTGGGGGTGTTGCTTAATTCCACCACACCACAGCAGTCCACCAGCACCTTGCCTGAGTAGGAAAGTTTCATAAAACTACTAGAAATGTATCCTGGCCACATCTAATGGAAAACAAATACACTTCAAGTGGCTCTTCCTTCCCCTCATTCCCATGACAAAATGCCTTTCTGCTCTGCAATTCTACCCACTTCCCAGTCCCCACTGAATCACTATTAGCATTTTGACAAGATCTCTAGATGATTTTATTTTAAACCAAAGGCAGTAAATTTGGAGAAGTGTGTCAGAGAGTTTGAGCCTTAAACCAGCAGAGAGCCTGGGGATATAATTTGTAGGCAACATGTGTCCCAAATTTCAAGCAACAGAGTTTTTCTTTCATTCTTGATCATCTCTCAATTGCTGAAAACAATTTCTTAAAAAATATTAATTTAACTCCCCCACTAAATGTTAATGTGGAACACTTACACCTTGAAATAAGAACTTCCTACTGAAATAATGGATGGTTTAGTTTCTGTAAACAGATATAGAATGGAAAAGTAAGAGTATTGCTATACTTGTTGCAGTTGCAGGCAAAACCAAAGCTCAGAGAACAAGAGGTTTTTATAGACTTCATGATCCCCTCCTGGATACCTTAGATCAAGAAGGGGAGAGAGCCTGAGGTGAGCATTCTCACTCTGAGGGTGACGGGAAATCAATTACCTCTTACCCTATCCCATCTCTTACTACCCTCCTGAACTATTCCCATACCCATCTCACTGCTCAAAGATTCCACCTTTGCTTTGCTCTTTCCTGGCAGAACAGGTCCCAGGCATGGTCTGTACTTTTTCATGCTGGGCATTCAGGGAATTTTTTTCTCTCCAAACAAACCCTAAACTCTAATTCTGTCAACTCATTCATTCCATGGATCAAAAAATATGATTTTTTTATGGCGTCTTATTTGTGCTGGGCTGCCACCAGGCTCACTTTTTTAAACCTGTCTTTGCAAGTATGTGAGTGATTATCAAATTTTTTCTTTTTTATCGGTCTTGGGCTTGAACTTGGCCTGGGCACTGTCCCTCAGCTCTTCAGCTCAAGGAGAGCATTCTACCACTTGAGCCACAGCACCACTTGGTTTTCTGGTGGTTTACTGGAGATAAGAGTCTTATGGACTTTCCTGCCCCAGCTGGCTTTGAACCATAACCCACAAATCTCAGCCTCCTGAGGAGCTAGGATTACAGACATGAGATACTGGTGCCCAGCATTATCAAACTTTATTTAGTAACTAAACAAACAATCAAATTTTAGGTGAAGGGGAGTGAAAAATCTGCCAATAAATGTTTCATGAAGGAGTTCAGAGAACAGAGATTAAAAACGTCATCTATTCTTTCTTCTTTTGTGTGTGTGCACATAAATACACACATAAATGTCAGTATTCTGAAATTCTAAAATGTTCTAGTTTTGTAAATAAAATGCTAGCCCACTGTCTTTCTAGAGGGGACACATTCTCCCTAATGACAGGGCAAAGATGTCCTAGAAATTTACAGCTTCATCCATATGCTAAGAACACAGAATTATCCCTAGATGTAAAATAATTATTCTTTTTTGAATTAAGAATTGGTTAGTTATTTAAATAACTGCCTCTTAATTTTTGCTGGTACTGGGGCTTGCACTCAGCCTACCACTCCCAGTTGGCTTTTTGCTTGTAGCTGGTGCTCTACCATTTAAGCCATGCTTCCAGTTCCACCCTTTAACTTTTTATAGCTAATTAGAATTCATTCTAGAGCTCACCATACAAGGCCTACCCTGCAGAATGACTTGGGGAAGGGAGAAATTTCCAACAGCCCCCAGCAGAAACAGATGACAGGAGAGGAAAGTGTATCATAGAAACAATACAACTGCACAGATCCCAAAGCCTAACTGCTCTCTTGCCTTTTGTCATTTTCTATTCAGGTTATTTTAATTTATATTCAATTTAGACTTCAGCATATGTGATGTTGTTAACTTATTTTCATAATTCCTTTTGGACTCTTCAGTTTAGATTTTGGGTTTTTTTCCCTTAGTTTCCCCCCTTTGCTTTTAATAGGGAACAATACAGAGAACAGACAAAACAACAATGACAGAAATGAAATAAAATGCTAACCTTATATATCCATGAAGGAAGCACTCAATAATCATTAAACTTTAGATGAAAAAAGGTTTAGAGATAACTTTTTTTTTTTTTTGTCTGTCATGGGGCTTGAAGTCTGGGCCTGAGCACTGTCCCTCAGCTCTCAGCTCAAGGCTAGCACTCTACCACCTGAGCCACAGTGCCACTTCTGGTTTTCTGGTGGTTTATTGGAGATAAGAGTTTCATGGCTTTTCCTGCCTGGGCTGGCTTTGAACCGTGATCCTCAGATCTCAGCCTCTTGAGTAGCTAGGATTACAGGCGTGAGCCTGTATATAGCTTTATAACTTATAACTTATAAATATATGTGAGCATGTACAGGCACTTCCTCCCTCAGGCACTATCTCTCTCTTTCATACACAAGTTTTATCAAAAGGTATTAATAAAAGAAATTTGGGGTAAGAATGTGACTTAGTGGTAGAGTGCTTGCCTAGCATGCATGAAGCCCTGGGTTTGATTCTTCAGTACCACATAAACAGAAAAAGCCAGAAGTGGGCAAAAGAAGCTTAGGGACAGTACTCAGGCCCTGAGTTCAAACCTCAGGACTGGCATAAGTAAATAAATAAATAAATGGAAATGTATAATATATGTAACTTGACTGTATTTGGATGAGAAAAGGGCATTACATTTATAGTTATTACAATCATAAAAAAATTGCAAGCTGAGCATTAGTGGCTCACACCTATTGATACCTACTCAGGAGGCTGAGATCTGAAGATGGCGGTTCAAGGCCAGCCTGGGAAGAAAGAACATGAGACCCTTATCTCTAATTAACTACCAGAAAACTGGAAGTGGCTCTGTGGCTAAAGTGGTAGAGTGTTAGCCTTGGGCAGAAAAGTTCAAGGATAGTGTACAGGCCTCCAGTTCAAGCTCATGACCAACAAAAAAATAGAAAAATTAAAAAAATCATTGCAAAGGCATTCATTACAAAGGCTATGAATCCCCTCCAAGGCACAATGGAAAAATAAAATCACTTAGCAAACTCAAATTTCTGATAAACTAGTTCATTTAAGAAAGTACATTTTGGGGATTCTGACTTAAAATTATTCTTGATTTCATTCTTTAGAAACTCCGAAATGCAAATGTAGTTGATACCTTTCAGAATCTGAAAACTATAAGAACGAATTAAGATAAATTTGGCTTTGTTTTTTCAACTTCCTGTAAAAATGCTCAACAGGAAAATTGGTGCTCACAGTAAACCACAGTCATCCTGTTTCTTTGACACAATTTTTTCACAGCTGCAGTTGCCTGAACTTTCTATTTTATGACACTAGTCTCTATGCCACATTGCTGCCTCCTCCATCTCCCAAGTGAATTGGTTGGCTATGTTAGAAACTTGTAATATCTTTGCAGAAAGGTCTATTGCTGTCATTCTCCCTCTTCACAGGCTGATGGTCCCTGAAGCAATCCAAACAACAACAACAACAAAAAACAGAGGCAGCTGGACCCAAGAGGAAGCAGAATATAGAGAAGAGAAGCAAGCTTACATTTGTAAGCAAATCACCAGTTCCATCCAGTTTATGATCATCATTATCATCTATTTGCAGCCAATACAGAGTCCGCACTTGCTGTGCATGGAATCTATTTCTCAGAATGAATTTGTTCTTTTCTTGATTAATCATTTAAAATAACAGCTTTGTTGATGGCTTAGATTGTCTTCTCAATAGTGTAGGTTTGTGTCTGTGTCTGTGTTAAACTTTGAGGGTACTTGACTTCTTCAGACATGCTTCTTTTTAAGTTCTTTTAAGAGGTGATTTATTTTGGTGGGTGGGGGTGAAAGGCCTTTTTCAAAGAAGATGTTTGAGGCATTTATAATGTCATTAAAATTGACCAAGAGCTTGGGCATAATTTTACTCCAAGTATAACTGCCAGGGAAATAAGGTTTCTATGAAGCAAGATTATTTTTTAATCTACTATTACACACATTTAATTTAAAGATTAACAGAAAACCATAGGCATCCAAGACTTTTAGTAGTGATGAAAGGAACTTTAGAAGCAGTGTTTAATAAGGATTAGCCATTTATTAAAAATAAATAAGCAAAGGTAAAGAGCCTAAGCCATTCTAAGTGGTCAGCAAATGTTACCATCTTTCCCCTTACGTGAGCATGAGAAAAGAACTAGGAGCTGACCTTAGCCCAGGTGTGCATACCCATGCCAACCTCTGAATCTCCTGGGTGGTGAAACACATCTTAGTTTACTTATCTTTACATCATTTATTTATTTTTTATGCCAGTACTGTGACTTGAAGTCGGTCTGGTCATTGTCCCTTTGCTTTTTTTTTTTGTCAATTGTGGGGCTTGAACTCAGGGCCTCAGCACGGTCCCTGAGCCTCTTTGTGCCCAAGTCTTGCACTCTACCACATGAGCCACAGCTCTACTTCCAGTTTTTGAGTGGTTAATTGGAGATGAGTCTCCCTGGGACTTTTCTGCCTGGGCTAGCTTGGAACTGGTTGAACCACGATCCTCAGTTCTTAGCCTCCTGAGTAGGTAGAATTACAGGCATGAGCCACTTTACCACCATCCCTTAGCTTTTTGCTCAAGGCTAGTGCTCTACTACTTGAGCCACAACTCTACTTCCAGCTCTTTGCTGATTAATTGAAGATAAAAGGGTCTCAGACTTTCCTGTGAGGGCTAGCTTTGAATCTTGATCCCAAGACGTTAGCTTCCTGCATAGCTAGAATTACAGGCATGAGCCTTCTGGCTAAAGCACACTGATTGTGACATTTCTTTTCTTTTTTAAAAAAATGTTATTGTCAAGCTGATGTACTGAGAGTTTACAGTTACATAAGTAAGGTAGTGATTACATTTCTTATCTAACTTGTTACCCCTTCCCTCATTTTTCTCCCTCTTTCCCCCCCCCCCAATCCCTCTCCCAAGTTGTACAGTTCATTTCTATTGTAACATTTCTTATTCTGATGTATTTTTTGTTTTAATTTTCAGAACTGAAAGTTACAGAATACAGACAGGTATATATGAAAATCCAAGGGAAAATAAAATCCTCTTTCCAACAAGAGGCACACATATAACAATTTGGGAGAGGGGTCAAACTGTAAATCAGAAATATCTCACAATGAAATGGCCAGATAATACCCAAGTGAATGAGTTGTCACAAAATGTGAAGTCGATTTCAAAGTCCCAGTAGCTCATATCCTCTGACGTTTATAGCATAGGTTGGGGGAACTTCTAACCTATAAGTCAGATGTAAAATTTGATTTCTCAACAATCAGAGTGAATTTGCTGCTGGAACCCAGGAATAATTTTCATGCAGTTAATCCAGAACACACATCACCTTCAACATTTAGATATTAAAGTATCTGAAGAAGCCGGGTGCCATGGCTCACGCCTATAATCCTAGCTACTCAGGAGGCTGAGATCTGAGGATCACGGTTCAAAGCCAGCCCTGGCAGGAAAGTCTGTGAAACTCTTATCTCCAATAAACCACTTGAAAACCGGAAGTGGTGCTGTAGAGTGGTAGAGTGATCGCCTTGAGCTGAAGAGCGCAAGGACAGAGCCCAAGCCCAGAGTTCAAGCCCCACGACAGACCAAAAAAATAAAAAAGTATCTGAAGAGTCATGAATAGGTAACCCAAGGACAAGCTTGTCTAAAGAATCTAAGAAAAGCTGACTTTAGTTTTAGGTAAATCACTGAATCTCTTAAGACTTGCAGAAAGAGGAGTTTGACTAGATCACATTCCAGTTCAGATGCAGTAAGATTTTATGAGAACACATAATTCTTTAAGTAAATGATGAGTATGTTTCTACATTAACAAACCCTGTGTCCTTCCTGTTCCCTTCTTATTACCTTGTCACTCTTTCCCCCGCCTTCCATCAATCTTTCTACCAAGCTTCCCTACTTTTCTTAATTAGAATCTTTCTATAACCCGTTCTTCATTGACATCTTTATATTGTACTCAACAGTTATGCCATTAAATTATTGAATAGAACTTGTACTTATTGACTAAGTTGTATATTTCCTTCTTTTTTATATATTTTTTAAGCTTCCATGTTTCTTCCAGGAGAAAAAGGAATAGAAGTCAAGTTGCTTTTTCATATATCCTAGAGAATTTGAATACAGAAACTTTCCTTCATCTACTCTGGTGGATTTCTAAGTTCATGGCTTCAAATTTTAAAGTATATTTTATGCCAAAATAGTAATCATATTAAATGTAAATATAAAAAATGCTATCCAAATTGATTTGCAATAGTAGCTGTGCTGCTCTGCATTGTTTTCAAGTACACAGAATTATTCTAAAAGTCAAGCTGACTACTGCTTAAGACACTGCTTAGAAATGGTTTTATAGAGCTGCCTGTCAGTGCTCACGCCTGTAATCCTAGCTACTCAGGATGCTGAGATCTGAGGATCACGGTTCAAAGCCAGCCTGGACAGGAAAGTCTGTGAGACTCTTATCTCCAATAAACCATCAGAAAACCGGAAGTGGCGCTCTGGCTCAAGTGGTAGAGCGCTCGCCTTGAGCTGAAGAGTAAAGGGACAGCGCCCAGGCCCAGAGTTCAAGCTCCACAAGCTGACAAAAAAAAAAAAAAAGGTTTTGTGGGGTGCTATGTGCCAGTCTCATGCCTATAATTATATATATATAGAGAGAGGGCGAGCTCTGAGGATCATAGTTCAAAGCTAGCCTGCACAGACAAGTCTAAGAAACTGTATCTCCTCTGATTAACCAGAAAAACTGCTAGTGTAGAGCACTAGCTATAAGCAAAGCTGAGAAAGAGTTTAATCCCTGGTGCTGGCATAAAAAAAAAAAAAAAAGAAAGAAAAAAATTTAAAAAAAGAAAGAAAGGGTTTAGTTCAGGAGTTGAACTCCACATGTACACTACAGCAGTAGCCATAGCAGTGGCTTCTTTCCAAGCTGTACTTGCTACCTTATTGTGCCTAAAACTGCAACAATTCAATCTATGGCCAACCTCTTATTCCAAAGGGACACATTTACTTATCTGAGTCTCATTTTAAATGGGAAAGGAACTTCAGTGGCTCCGTATTTGCCCAATGGTCATGAAAAGTTGTACTGAAAATTCCACTTACATCTTGGTCAAAACACAGTTATGAATTATCCACAATCACTACAGTGGGCAGCAGTAATAAATCATATGGTTTACTGAAAAATTAAACAACTTTATCTTAGTGTACTAGAGCCCATTAAAAGCCATTTAGTTCTTCCCTTCCACTGATAAAATAAATTTAGCTTGAATACAGTTTTCCTTACCGTTAAAAGGTACTGTAGGAAGGCATGTTCAGAGACCCAGGCAGACAGAGAGCAAGTGAGACATGAGCTAAGAGACACAACCGTCCTTGTAAAAGCATCATTCTCTAATGCAAGCAAGAGCGGGGTTGTTTCTGGGCGGCCATTTTGGACTAGCTCTGGCCTCCAATTCAGTGTGACACAGTGAACACACCAAGTCAGAGGCTGACGTCCTTCTGTGGTATTCACTTCCTGTCTGATTAATTCGTTGTTTGTTCCTTCCTCTTTTACTACAGAAAAAGAAACTAGATTGGTTTTACTTAAGAAGCAAACAAAGAAAAAAACTGCATAAATTACAGGCTTCTCCTTTCTACAAGATACAACATAGCTTTTTGATAAAGTAACAAGTTATGCTCAGCAACTCTATCCAGTTAACAGCCCAACTTCATCCTAGATACCTGTACAAAAATAAATCATTCACCAAACTTGAGACTCCTTCAAAAGAATTCTAATGGAAAGCAAGACTCTCAATTCTGATGATTCCATTTAGTAATAAGAAGAGTCACTCAGCAAATAAAAGCTCTTAAGTACACTGAGAATTAGTCTAAGTGATCTTTCCTCATTTACAGAGCACTCGAGTGTGCAGGGAGAAAGGTGCTAATGCAGGTGAAGACAGCAGTCCAGGTGTAGGAAGGCAAATGAGTTTGAAATGTGATTTGGAAGCCTAAGCAAGGAGAAATGATATGCAGCCCAAGTCAGCTGCAGATCTACGGCTTTCTAAGCCAAAATGTTTCTGTTCACCATTTGCGGGGTAACAATAACTCTCCCAGAAGATAGTGGAAAAAGCAAATGAGGGTAAGAAAATGAGGAAAAGAAAATGAGGGTAGAAGGAGCAGTTGTATTTCCCATTTCTAAGGGACTTTAAGAGGTGAGGAACAATGGGATATTTGTAGGCAACACTATGTCAGAACCTGAAGTTATGTGTTTAGAATAATCTGGAAATGCTCATATATTTTTTTCTTGACCCATTTGAAAGATATAGGTTTATATATTATTTCCTTACCTAGTTAGGAAGCATTTTCAGTGGGTGAGATTGATAGGGGGCGGGGCCTGTAGGATTTGGTAGGTGGGGCCAAAAATTTGAAATTTGCTATGGTGTTCAGCCTCAATACCAATAGTGTTCCTATTGAGACATATGACATAGATATCTAAATTTGAAAGACCAAACTCTGTCTCTGTGCTATGCGTTGAACTGCATCAACAGCTTCATATTGCCAGTCCATGGGCACCATTTCTCTAAGTGGAGTATCCAAGGATGGTTGTCAGAGAGTCATCTGCTCTGCCTGGAGCTACCAGAAGTTAGGCATTGCATTCCTCTTGCTTAACACAGACCCTGAAGTTCATGTGGCACTTACTCCAGAGATATTTGAGATATACAGGGCCTCAATACAGGCATCAGGCATCTACTTCCTCCTCTGCAAGCCCCTGGGACAACAGAAAACCCGACCAACTTGAAATAAATGCTTGAGTGAATTTTTTGAGGAAGTTTAACTCTAGCTGGGTCCAAACAGAAAACACGGTCAATATGGGAAAGTCTACATGTACTTATTCTAGAGTTCACTTAGTGTATGGCGGGTGAGACCCAGAGAGGAGCTGTGCAGTTTGGGTCTATTCCATCTTCAGAATAACTTGTAAATGCAGTCAAAGTGTCTATAAGTGTCTATAAGAAGCTGCATTTTTTTTTTCGTCGGTCGTGGGGCTTGAACTCTGGACTTGGGCGCTGTCTCTGCGCTCTTCAGCTCAAGGCAAGTACTCTACCACTTGAGCCACAGCACCACTTCCAGTTTTCTAGTGGTTTATTGGATATAAGAGTCTCATGGACTGGGCTGGGAAGGTGGCTCAGTGGTAGAGCGCTTGCCTTCCATGCATGAGGCCCTGGGTTCGATTCCTCAGCACCACATAAGCAGAAAGAAAAAAGCTGGAAGTGGCGCTGTGGCTCAAGTGGTAGAGTGCTAGCCCCAGGCCCAGAGTTCAGGCCCCACGAACGGACCCCCCCCCCAAAAAAAAAAAAAAGAGTCTCACAGACTCTCCTGCCCAGGCTGGCTTTGAACCGTGATCCTCAGATCTCAGCCTCCTAAGTAGCTAGGATTGCAGGTGTGAGCCACCAGCGCCTGACTGAAGCTGCATTTTAAAACTATAGTCTCAGACTGAGGAGGCAGTAATTTGGAAGATCACAGTTGTAGGCAGCCCAGACAAAACATGAGTGAGACCTGATCACAACAAATAAGACTTGTCTGGTGGCTCACCCCTATAATCTCACCTACAGGGAGGATACAGGCAGGAAGAATATAATCTGAGATTTGCCTTGGTAAAAGAATGAGACCCTGTCCCCCACATATCTAAAACAAAAACGGCTGGAGCTATAGCTGAAGTGGTAGAGTGTCTGTCTAGTAAGCATGAGATCCTGAGTTCAAAACAGAGAAACTGTAAGGCTGAAGGGGCTGCAGAGATCAAAACCTGCTTCATCATTGACAGACAGAGAAATGGGATCCAGGGTGTCGTATGTCACACAGCTAACCCTGCAGAGCTGTGTGGGAATCCTGGGCTCCTACTCCAGGGTGCAGCACCATTACTATTTTAAACCTCATTATCTTTTCAGAAAGTCATTTCCATCCAACTCCTTCCTATAAGCATAAGAGGAAGCATGAAGAGGGTAGAAGCAGGTATAATGTGAGGAAAAAAGTCAAGGATGGTGTTTGTATCATTGTTCCTATTAAGATTATCATCAAAGGCCCACCATAAGCAGGGCTGAACAGATAAGAATCTGGACCTGAAGGAGAACTTTATATGCCTGTATCTTCCCTATCCAATACACAGACCAGCCCAAGTTATGTTAAAATAAAACAATAATCAACAGACTCTTGGACCAATCAGGTTAAAGAATCTTCTATATGAATCCACAGAAATAAAAAGCTAGGAGCAGACAGAAAATGGTAAAATAACAGCATAGGTCTTATCAGTCTTGGAAAAGAAATAAAGAACCATAGCCAACATCTCTGTTGTGGCTGCCGGTAAACACCTGGTGAATCAGCACAATGTGAATGAGTGGAATATGGAAACATTTGTTTGTTTGCTGTTGTTTTTAATAATTCTGGTTTGTCAGCATGTTTTCATGACTGCCTGTTAGGCATGTTACTTACTCTGATAATGCAGAGGTTTGTAATACTGTATTCCTTCAATTCCAAAACAGCAAAATGTCCCTCTTCCAGCTTTTAAGGAGAAAAATACTACTACGTGAAAACTATTTATTGTTAGAGGAATCTACTTTCCAAAGTTAAACTAGGGCTGGGTGTAGAGGCCAGTGGTAGAGTACTGAGTTTAAACATGGGAGTTGAAGGCCGTCAAAAGAGCAGGCACTGAGAGATGATCCGTTCACATAACTATCAATATAGTTACAAAGAGAGCTGGTCACTTAAAACTGATCTCAACAACATGGAGAAAATAAAATCCATTTTTGTAGTATCATTCACTGTTAATAAAAGTTCGTTTAATTTTACTTGGGGACAACTGTAGTATATTTCATAATGCTTTGGCAGCTTGTTGACTGATCATTCACCCTCTTGGTTCTTGTGTTTTGTGGTTCTTGTGTTTTGATTTGTGAGGACCCTTTCTCTATCCCTCTCAGACCATGTGGACCCAGGGCCCCCCACTCCCACTGAGATTCATAGCTGGCTAACAAAGCCTTGCATACATTCACTTGGCCTTTGAGATTTTTCTGGCCTGTGAAGCCATCAGAATCAAGGAGACTTGTGAGCGGAGGCAAGACTTTTGCTGGGGTAAAGGCTAGAAGCAGTGTGAGGATAGAGAGGGTGGGCCTGCTATATTTCTTCTTTGACTATACTGGGTCTGAAACTGATACAAGCAGCAGAGAACTGGGCTGGAGAAAAGACAGGTCTTGATGCTGCTAGCTAAGCCCTGAACCTATCTATACTTGTAGCTGGCACTATTTCTAGACTCCTGTTTCATATGAGGAAATCACTTTTTTATTTTGCTTAAGCCAGCACTGTCAGCTTCTGTCACTAGCAATGCAGGGGCTTCCCAGTGATACAGGAGCTGGTACTAGAAGAGTGTGACCCTAAAATGTGCAGCTTCTGCTTTAAGATGGAGGAAAGGCTGGTGGTACCTGTTTTCTCCCTCTAGAAGGTAGTCCTTCTGGTTACACAACAGCAGCTTTGTTCATAATGCTGCCACCTACTGAATCCATGGTCTAAGACCATGAGCCTGCTGATGGCCTACCATCAAAATGTTCCACAGAAAAAAATCAGAATGTTCGAGTACCGTAAATATACACAGGAAAGACAACTAGCTAAAACTCACTAGACATACAGAGGAGAAAATGGAAACATTTAAAAATAAACAACCAGAAGCCCTTTTTAAACTTGTAATCTTCAATCAAATGGGTTGGCAGTCAAAAGGTGGAGAGCCCAATTGTCCCTGTTAGATTAACATTTGATAGCATGGGGTTGTTTTATGTTCTTTTGTCTGAAAAAAGAGGAGCTACTTTCATTGTGACCTTTGGACCTACCATCAGCAAGAAGTGAATTACCAAATGAAGAGTTTGGGTTTGAGGTAGGTAAGCACAATTCATTGAGGTGTACCTTTCTAAACTGTGTGTATGGGAAGATACTTGGGATTGGGAGAGAGGGGCTTAGTACACTGAATATGCACTCTTGCTTTGGAGTATTTGCCCCATGAAATACAGTAACAAATTCAGATTTGGGAAGAGACTTGCTGATATTCAACTCTGACCTTGGCCTTGGTTGGGTTAACTCTATTCTGACTCCAGGAATGGAAAGTGATCTGTGTTGGTTTATTACAGCCTTGGAATTCTCTGTAGCTATCCAGTTCAGAGATGAACCTGCATTAACTTCTGAAGGAAGGAGACACGATGAAACTGTTCTAAGACATCCAGGGCTGGGACTGGTTGGATTTTATCCATAATTATAAACCAGTGGCAACTGAAAAGATGAGAAGAAACCCATTCAGTAAGAGCGCTAGGGGAGCCTGAGCCCTCAGAGGCACACCATGTCACATATGGATGCTACTTGGCTCCAGATTCAAAGAAGCTAAAACAAACAAACAAACAAAAAGAAGCTGGAAATTAGAATACTGAGAATTTAATGTTATTAGTATACCA